CGACGCGATGGCGTGCTCTGATATATGCTGCTTAAGCCGCTAGTTTTACCTGTGCGTTGTCGAGGTTGACGCTTTCAGGAGTTGGCGCGCGCTTGGAACGGAGTCGCTTCAGCGGGAATCAGGTTGGGGATAGTTCCGAATGGAGGCCCTCAAAACCGTACCCTTATGCTCTATTAGGGATCAGGAGACCGTAGGACTCATTTTTCATCAATCTTCAAATAATTTTTTTTCAATCTTGGCACGTTTGTGCTCGGTTTGAGTCTTAAACCCTGCTTTTCGAGGTCTGCCTCATATCAAAATTTGTTCCCAAAAGTTCTTGGAATCGTTAGCTATAAGTAGAACATCTGTTTGATGTGGGCACTAGGAGTCCTAGTGCCAGACAGGTACGAAACGTTGTCCAGGGAGTATCAGTATCGGGAACATGTTTTTAGACACTTTGGAGGGTCTCGCGAATTCGAGACGCACGAATCGTGTGTCACTCCACCCTTCTTAGGCAAGTGATGTAGACGTGAGCGGCATTCCATCCCACTGGATAACCTCTTTTTGGTGAAATCAGCCTTAAAAAGGGCGCTTCTCCATAACATTTAAGCCTAAGATTCAGAACTGGGACTACAAGGCAGATACTGCCAAAGGGTTCTTTGATTAAACGAAGCGATGTTCCTGAAGACACACTGCACGTAGCTTATGTGGGCGAGTCAGGCCCACCATTGTACCGCCTTCATTGGTGTCTTTTCTGAAAATCTAGGCGTGAGGAACTCGCCAACACCGATGGTGCCTTCAAGTAACCTCCAGTGGCTAATTTTTGATTCAACTCTACTTATTTGTAAGGCTACCTCGGCATGTATCGTTGGCTGACCGGCCTGGAACCAAATGGCAAATGGATGTCGTGGTTGACAAGAGAGACACTCGAGCAGTTCAACAGTGAGTCCTCGCTTAGAATTTTCATAAAAGCCATTAGACAACAAAATCTTTAAGCATACACCGATGCTAAAGCTCATCTGATGTCAACTCCAATGCTTTCTCCTGTGTACTACATTCTCGGAGGTGTGAATCCATGGGAGGTAAACTGATTTCATTGAAGATTCATTCAGCGGCTATCTGACAGATGGAAGTTTCATCTTTGCATAAAGTGTCCGGATGTGCACAGCCCACCTCTAGATAATGTGCAATAAGGGCGCGAGGAGTTTGCGGATGCTTGGTGTCTCCGCCCATATTAGGCACATGCTCATGAAGGTTCTATCATCGCATGACCTCGCACCCGATTTTCGAGCACTTCGGTATATGCGCTGTATGACTCTCTCCCGCAACTCTCTCGTCTCTCATCCACGCGCTCAGTATTCCGTCACCCCTTATCTCTACCCATTTATCCTGTGAGCAAAATCAACTGCGAACAGGCAGGCCTTATTGAGGGT